TATTGCAAGCTGTGGGCCTGAATAATGGTTAAATGTGGTTTTCAGAAAAAAAAAATTTTTTTTGGCACACTGTTTTTAAAATTTTGAAATAGGACACTTTAAAATATTTATTTATTTATTTGTCAGAGAGAGAAAGAGAGAGCGAGTGCACAAGCAGGCAGAGTGGCAGGCAGAGTCAGAGAGAGAGGCAGACTCCATGCCGAGCAAGGAGCCTGATGCGGGAATTGATCCCAGGACTCTGCGATCATGACCTGAGTCGAAGGAAGGCAGCGGCTTAACCAACTGAGCCACTCAGGTGTCCCGAAATAGAACACTTTAAAGTGTGTATGCAGTGCATATTTGGCCACAGGTCCCAACATTCTAATTTCAGGCAGATTTACTCATTTCTCTTACTTCCCTGGCCCTGTTCACATTTGAGTTTTTGACTTTTGCTTCAAGTTTTGGGATGTTTTAGTTCTCATCTGGATCTGGGGGGTTAAATAGATCTGTATACTTAAAAATCCCAAATTTATATCTCTAATCTTTATTTCTCCCTCAAAATGTGTTTATGTCAAAAACATTAGAGATTCAAGGGCCTTTTTTATTGATTAAAAAGGTATAACAAGTAACCACTGTATGATAGAAACAGCAACATAATGTACAGAAACTTGTGACCAGCACCAGGTGTTGTATGTAAGTGTTAAATCACTAAACTGTATACCTGAAACTAATGTTCATTGAGATTTACGTAAAAACTAAAAGCTAAAACAAAAGAAAAAAGATAAAAAAAAAAAAGATATGCAAAAAAAGAAAAGGAATGTTGAACAGGGATGTTTCATAATTTTATTTTATGATGGGAAATTATATATGTTTGCTTGGGGAGAAGAATGATTTAGTAGAGAGGGCAAATGGATGAAAGCAGGAGCATAGTATAGGAAGGCAGTTGTTGAAAAGAATAGAATAAGATGAGGACGCCTTTGGTAGGTACAGAGACTTTTTTAAAATCACAAGATGAAAATGGGATTTAGATCTGGTGATAGGAAGATAAGGAAGTTCCATTTCCTGCTCTTCACTTAATTGAAGTACGAGATGAGGTCATCAGCCGATATCCAAGATCTATAAAGAACTCCTCAAACTCAACACCCAAAAAATAGATAATCATGTCAGAAAATGGGCAGAAGACATGAACAGACACTTCTCCAAAGAAGAGATACAAATGGCTAACAGATACATGAAAAAATGTTCATCATTACTAGCCATCAGGGAATTCAAATCAAAACCACATTGAGATACCACCTAACACCAGTTAGCATGGCCAGAATTAACAGGACAGGAAACAACAAGTGTTGAAGAGGATGTGGAGAAGGGGGAACCCTTTTACACTGATGGTGGGAATGCAAGTTGGTGCAGCCACTTTGGAGAACAGTGTGGAGATTCCTTAAGAAATTCAAAATAGATGGGGCGCCTGGGTGGCTCAGTGGGTTAAAGCCTCTGCCTTCGGCTCAGGTCATGATCCCAGGATCCTGGGATTGAGCCCCGCATCAGGCTCTCTGCTCAGCAGGGAGCCTGCCTCCCCCCCTCTCTGTGCCTGCCTCTCTGCCTACTTGTGATTTCTGTCTGTAAAATAAATAAATAAATAAAATCTTTTAAAAAAAAAAGAAATTAAAAATAGAGCTACCGTATGACTCTGCAGTTGCACTACTGGGCATTTACCCAAAGATACAGATGTGGTGAAAAGAAGGGCCATCTGTACCCCAATGTTCATAGCAGCAATGGCCACAAGTGCCAAACTACGGAAAGAGCTGAGATGCCCTTCAACAGATGTATGGATAAAGAAGATGTGGTCCATATATACAATGGAGTATTATGCCTCCATCAGAAAGGATGAATACCCAACTTTTGTATCAACATGGATGGGACTGGAGGAGATGATGCTGAGTGAAATAAGTCAAGCAGAGAGAGTCGATTATCATATGGTTTCACTTACTTGTGGAACATAAGGAATAACACGGAGGACATTAGGAGAAGGAAAGGAAAAGTGAATTGGGGTAAATTGGAGGGGGAAACAAAGCATGAGAGACTGTGGACTTTGAGAAACAAACTGAGGGTTTTGGAGGGGTGGGGGTTAGGTGAGCCTGGTGGTGGGTATTAAGGAGGGCATGGATTGCGTGGAGCACTGGGTGTGGTACATAAACAGTGAATCTTGGAATGCTGAAAAAAAAATGAAGGAGAGTTCAGTATTTCTGAGGAGAGAAAAGTGTAGTCATTTCAGCAGGAAAATATAGTAGGATTTCTAGGCAATTCTGAGTGCCCTTGAGGTTTAAGGTCATTAATTTTTTTTAAAGATCCTCCCAATCTTTTTTTTTTCTTTCTTTTTTAAAGATTTTATGTATTCATTTGACACAGAGAGAATGACAGGGAGAGAGGGAACACAAGCAGGGGGAGTGTGAGTGGGAAAAGCAGGCTCCCTGATGAGGAGGGAGCGCTGCAGGGCTTGAGCCCAGGACCCTGGGTTCATGACCCCAGTCCAAGGTAGAAGCTTAACGACTGAGCCACCCAGGCATCCCTAATATCATCAATTTAAGAGAAAAACTGTTTGGGTTTGTGCTTTACTCAGCAGTGCGCTGCTGCCTTGTTCGGATAAGGAGAAGGTTCGACTAGAGAACTGAGCTTTTACCAGGCAAATAGGATAATGGGAGAAAAGTGCAGGAAAGTTAAAGATGTTTGCAAGGCAGTGGTTATAAGGACGACTCTGAACTCTCAGAGTGGTAAAGAGGGAAATACAGGAAAAGAAAGGAATTATGAAAAGTATAAATGTAATAAATAGGATAATTGTCTTAATGTGGTTAAAGAATTACTGAAGTTGAGCTAGAGTAGAGTGCTCTGACTAGGCCAGAGGATGGGCAGGAGAGCCAACAGATACCTGTCTCTTTGGAGTGAGGAATAAACTGTGGGACCAGGCTCAAACCATGCTCGAGGAGACTGAGAGGAGTTGGGGACTAGAGATTTTTTGGTAGAGTCACACAATGACTGGCATTCCCCTGCTTTTAAACACTTCTTTGGCTCACTGTGCTCTATAGAATGGAGTACTCTCAAAAGAAAAAATTTAAAATTAATCACCTTTTGTTTCCAAGTATTGAAAACACGATTTTGATGTTCTGGGTTGGACTAATTTATCCAGCATAGCAGGGATTGAGATATTCTGGAATGTCAAAGGTCTACTGTTCTATAATCCCAGAAGCTGTAGATGAGTAGTGTTAATATTTTAGAATATTACTCTCCAATTGTTTTTTTTCCCTGCATATATTCATATAACTGATAGTAAATAGTGGATAGTTGTGTATCTTTTTTTTTTTTTCTTAACTTACTAAAAGAACATGTAATTAGTGAATTTTAGGTAATGGTAATTTTAACTAATAACTTCAAAAATGAAAGTGTTGTTTGAGAAAATCATTCTGTATTATAATACATCTTTTTATAGATTTTGGGTTATTTGAGAATAAAAAATTTATACTCTCTTAAGAAAACATTTGAAAAAATAAAAAAATAGAAAAAAGAAAAAAGAAATAGAAAAAAGAAAAAAAGAAAGAAAACATTTGAATTGGTTAAGAAAGAAAAGTTTCAGGGGCACCTGGGTGGCTCAGTGGGTTAAAGGCTCTGCCTTCAGCTCAGGTCATGATCCCAGGATCCTGGGATCGAGCCCCGCATCGGGCTCTCTGCTCAGCTGGGAGCCTGCTCCCCTCCCCTACCTGCCTCTCTGCCTACTTGTGATCTCTGTCAAATAAATAAATTAAATCTTTTAAAAATTTTTAAAAAAAGGTAGAAAAGTTCAGTAATAGACTTGTTTACAAACAATGAATATCAATAGGTTGGGGTGCCTGGGTGGCTCAGTTGGTTAATTGCCTTCGGCTCAAGTCATGGTCTTGGTCTTGAGATCAAGCCCCACGTTGGGCATTACGCTCAGTGTGGAGTCTGCTTCTCCTTTTCCCTCTACCCCTCCCCCTGCTCATGCTCATTCTCTCTCTCTCTCTCTCTCTCTGTCTCAAATAAATAAATAAAATCTTAAAAAATATATAGGACAAGTTTATGGAATAAGGTTAGAAAACAAAGCAAGGCATTTGAAAATCCTGATCAATCTTAAGAATATGTATGAGTGAAAATGTTAGAGTGCTAGCAAATATGATTAAAATCTGATCTACCATTGCCAAGTAAGAAATGTTGTACTAGAAAGAAATTTAGTACATTATCAGACTTAATTGGGAAAAAAAGATACTGTATTATAGTTTGATCAAATATAGAGTTCATTCCTAATCAAATTAATTAAATATGAAAATAAAAGTGTACTTTCATAGCATGGTAGGAAGAATATCTTTATTAACCAATACCAAATTTAAAAGAAAAATGCCGATAAAATTGTTAACCATTTGTCTTTTTTAAAATTTAAATTCAATTAGCCAACATATAGAACCTCAGTAATTTCAGATAGTCTTTAATTCAACATTGGTACTTAGTGTGGTCTGTGGATTGGTGCCAATCCATGAATTGGTTGTTTCAGGTCTATCAAGAGATAAGTACAAGAATATAGAAGTAGTTAGAAACTTTTATAAATTTGACAGTAATTTTGGTTTTTAGAGCTAAAAATTGGACATTTGGCCTTCTGTTTTATATGTTCGGCTTATATATCTTTTAAATTTAATTTTCTAATTCAGATTTGTAATCAAATTGTAAGATTTCATGTAGAACCAAATATAGTGAAGAGAACTGTTAAAGAATAACAGAAATGCTAGTGATATAACACATTAAAAGATGGGTAGTGATGGGAAGAGCTCTAAAATGTAGTTAATACTGTGAAAAACATACAGAAAGAACAGTTTTACTTTCTCCAAAAACACGATGATGAGAATGTTATCACACAGACGCCAAATGCTACATGAGTTTATGGATATTTGTATCTAAATATTAATGTATATGGTAACTCGGTTAATGACTTAGCATATTTTCCTTCAAAATTATTGTTTTAGAGAACAGAATGTTGGCAGTATCTTCCTCAAGAGATGGACTCTTCCCACACCTTGGATATGACCCAGACCAGGTTTAATATGAGAGAGGAAGGGACCGAAGTGACAGACCTCGCCTCTGTGGAGGAAGGTATATTGACCCAACCAGAAAATCAAGGAAAGGAACCCAAGAGAGGTCTCTTATGTTCGCCGCTGCTAGGTAATGCCTCTTTATTTTTAACTAGTAGTAATAACATATTTATAACATACTTTTGGGGGACATTGGGTCTTGCATCTAAATCTCTTTTTCTTTCTTTTAGGTTATTTATTTTAGAGAGCGTGCAAGCGTGCAGGGGGTGGGGAGAAGTAGAAGGAGAGGGAGAGAGAATCTGAAGCAGACTCTGCAGTGATTACAGAGCCTAACTCGAGGCTTGATCTCTCCACTGCAAGATCATGAGCAGAGCTGAAACCGAGTCAGATGCTTAACTGACTGAGCCACCTAGGCACCCCTAAATCCTTTCATGAATTGAGGAGCTCTATAGAGCCATCCTCAAAGGTATTAGCTTAATTTTGGTTTTCTACACTGACCATCTGGTCTAGTTATGTGTATCTGCCCTTCATTATGTCCTGTTGCTCACAGAAGGTAGAAAGGTGATAACTTCCTCTCTAGTGGGTATACCTCCTTGGCCTTGAGTTTGTGGATTTTTCCTTGGGGTAAACTATATATTATCCTTTGACAATCTCTTATCTCTTGCAATGGAACCTCCATGATCCTTAAAAAACTACAAATACTTACAAGCTTGCTTCATTAGATTCTTTTTTTTTTTAGATTTTTAAAAATTATTTTTATTAACACATAATGTATTATTTGCCCCAGGGGTACAGGTCTGTGAATTGTAAGGCTTACACACTTCATAGCACATACCCTCCCCAACGTCCATAACCCAGCCACCCTCTCCATACCTCCTTCCCTCCAGCAACCCTCAGTTTGTTTTGTGAGATTAAGAGTCTATGGTTTGTTTCCCTCATGATCCCGTCTTGTTTCATTTTTTCCTTCCCTACTTCCCAAACCCTCCCCTCTGCCTCTCAAATTCCTCATATCAGAAATTTATCAGGAATTATCAGGAATGATAATTCTTTCTCTGATTGACTTATTCCGCTCTACATAATACCCTCTAGTTCTACCCACATTGTTGCTAATGGCAAGATTTAATTTCTTTTGATGGCTGCATAGTATTCCATTGTATATATATACCACTTCCTCTTTATCCATTGCTTCATTAGATTCTTAGAATTAGTTAAGTCGTATGTTATTCTCAGTTTTCAGACCCTAAAAGTGAGATAAAGAGGTTAAATGACTAGTCTGAGGTAGATCTTACTGGTTTCCTCTTCTTAATATGGCACTGATTTATTAGCTCTTTACAAAAGGTAAACGTGAAGTACCTTTCAGATTATCAGGGTAGGAGATAGAATTGTGTTATTACTACTTTGAATTGTGTGGGTATAGAAGAATGCTTAACCAGTATGGTGATTTCAGTTTTTTTTGCCTAAATGATAATTAAGGCAATATTATTTTGCTCTTCTTTTTGTTTTATTCAGGTTTTCTTTTCCCCCCAAAAAACGCTTCTCAGCCTTTTGGCTAAGATCAAGTGTAGAACTAGCCTTGACAGTGGAATGAGATTTAACCATGATGTTATCTTGTCAGCGTTTTGTAGAGGAGCGCCAATAGGAGTTAATTCAATAAGTTTCTTTCTTTCTTTTTTTTTTTAAGATTTTATTTATTTATTTGATAGAGCACACAAGTAGGCAGAGCGGCAGGCAGAGGGAGAGGGGGAAGCAGGTTCCCCCTCTGCTGAGCAGGGAGCCCGATGTGGGGCTCAATCCCAGGACCCTGGGATCACAACCTGAGCTGAAGACAGCTGCTTAACTGACTGAACCACCCAGGTGTCCCACAAGTTTTTTTCAAACATAAGCCAAGGTTATCCAGATCAGAATATGGGCACCAGTGTATTTTATGATGTAGACCATCAGAGTCCGTTTTAGTTTCACATTTTAAGAAAGATGTTGACAGTGGGGCTTCTTGGTGGCTCAGGCAGTTGAGCTTCTGACTGTTGGTTTTGGCTCTGGTCCTGGGATCCGGCTTCATGCTTAGCTTGGAGACTGTTTGTGATTCTCTGCCTCTCCCTCTGCCCCTCCCCACCTCACATACTCTCTTTTTTGCTCTTTAAAATAAATAAATGAATTAAAAAATTTTTTTTTAAAGAAAGATATCGACAGCACAGCAGTTCCTTTTTGAGAGGAAATGAGTATGACAGTAGATGAAAGAGAAGACTTTGTTATGATCAGGTGTTTGAGGGGCTGTCAAGCTAAGGAGGAAGGAGTTTACCTTTCATTTATTCACTCATTTGCTTAACAGATATCTAAGTGCTTATAGTGTGTTTGATGCTAGGGATATATAGATATAGAAAGCTACTTCTATGTGTAGCTATGTGATCCACAAAGTGTAAAATATTTATTAGTTGGCCTTTTAAAAAATGGTTGCTTATTCTTAGTCTAGGGGTTAAAATGAGAATACATAGCTTATAGGGAGGCTGTTTTCAATTTGATATAAGAAAGAACTTTCCTAACAGAGCCATTTAATAGTACAAAGACCATATAACAACAGAAAATGTGAGGTTTATATCATTGCAAAATGTCAAGCAAAATTCTCAGAATTTCAACATTCGGTCGGAGATTATGCAATGTGGCTTCTAAAATGTTTTCTAGTTAAGGTTTTAGAACTACAGCTTCTCATTTACTTTAGATAAATAGAACATTTTTAGTTATTAGAGCAGATCCCTGGATCTGATATATCTCTAGAGGAAATTTCATCATTGCTGTTTTGTTATGTACGTATATAGTCATTGGGGGGTGTATCGGTCTCACCAGCGGCAGAGGTCATGATGATGACTGGTGCCAGAACAGTTAGATATTTCAAAAAATAGTGGTCTAAGCCATCAGCAGTTGTCTAAATGTGAGGAAATGTGGGATCTTTGTTAAAAACCTTTATGATTTTTAGAGGAATGAGAGACTTCTCTGTTATGAAGGTTTAAGACTGAGTCTGTAAGCCAAGGTCAAAGAGGAATCATACCAAGCAGTCCTTGGTAGTCAAGGTTATCATTCTCATCCTGCTTGATTTTTAATAAATTAATTTTTAATAAATAATTCTATTTTGAGTAACTAAGTGTAGCAAGTACTTTGGTAGGCATTGCAGATACAGCTGTGAATAAAGTGGATGTGGAGTTGACTGTTCAGGTGAGAAGCAGTCAGACCAAAAATTAAAACATGGTATGACAGTTATGATAGGGAAGGTGTTGTCATGCAGAATTATAGGCATTCTGAAATCAAGAAAGTGTACCATAGCAATGGTATCACATTCATAGTGAAAGAACGTTTAGTTCTAGCAAAATATCACCTATCCAGTTAAATTAATCTTGGAATATTGATGGTTTTATAGTTTTATTTCTATTAAAATTTTGTTTTTGTTTTATAGTTATATAAATGGTATAAATAATGAGGAGTTTATACCTATTTTGTATGTATTTAGGCACATATAATAAGAATTATTTAAATTGACATTCAGGAATCCACAAGAATTATTTTTCCTTTAAATCAGCAGTTCTCCCAACTTTTTGGAGAACAGCACTCCTTTACATATTTTAAAATTACCAAGGACTTCAAGGAGCTTTTGTTTATGTGGGTTGTTGATATTTCCCATTTTAGAAATTAAAACTTCGTAATTTCTAAAATATTAACTCAAAAAAACTCCATTGCATGTTAACATAAATTACATTTTTTAAGAAAAATAACTATTTTCCAGAGCAAAATATTTAAGAGTGCCATTGTTTTATTTAAGAACAAAAATCTCTGTAATGTTTGACCTCATAGAGGAGAAGTAGATTTTGATAATCTGCTTTTGCATTCATTATGTTGCTATATCTCAGATGATGTAGCTTCTGGAAAATTCTACCATACCCTTGTGAGAGAATGAAAGTGAATAAGGCAAATGACATCTTAATATTATTTTGAATATAATTTTGACTCTAGGTACCTCCTGAGAATGTCTTAGGGATGCTCAGGAACCTATGGACTACAGTTTGATTTAAGATGGAAAGAAACACTCATAATGGTTAAGAGCACTCGCTAAGAAATTAGAGTGTTTAAGTTCAGTTCTCATTCTGACACTTAAGCTATTTGAATGTGGGCAAATTCATATTTCTTAAATTTTATAATCATGTTTCCTCAGCTGTGAGATGGGCATAATAATACCTATCCTTCAGGGTTATCTTTGAAATTTTGTACTTTAAGTGCTGTTATGTTATCATTCTGATGCTTTTAGAAATTTCCAGATGGCTACGTATTTAGGTTCTATAAAGTATTACATGAGTAAGCTAAGCAATTAACTTTCAGCATTCCCAACATTTTTATGCTTGAAACTTTGCAGTCATACAAGACAACTTTGCTTCCCCTGATTTGCCTTTGCTGACATGTATGACACAAGATCAAGAGTTTGGGTCTGATTCCTTATTTCAACAAAGCGAACTAGATTTTGCACCTGTGAGGTAGGATGATTTATTTTTTTATTTGCATGTAAACTTCCTACTTTTTCTTATTCTAAGTTGTTGCTAATATTAATGACTTCAGGCTAAGGTGAGACTTTGGAGTGGGGGTTAGATATTTTCAGCATACCCTTGGAAGGTAACAAGGCCCTAAGTTAAGACATGATGCACATTAATTTGGTATAGTAATACATGTGTAAAAATGAGCCAGACAACTGTAGTTTATTTAAAAATGTTTTTTAATGTATTTTAGCATTTCAGGCATAATTTATTTTATTTTTAAATTTTTATTGTAGTATAGTTGACATACAGTGTTAGTTTTGGGTGCACAACCTAGTGTTTTGACAGTTCTATTCATTCTGTAGTGCTTACCATGACACGTGTTGTACACCTGAAACTAATATAATAATGTATGTCAACTAACTAAAATAAAATGTTTAAGAAAAAACTGTAGATGTTTGCAGAGTAAACACCTTTGCCCTTCTGCTATGTATTACCTTAAAATCACTTTTATGAAAAGGTGTTCTATGTATAATAGTCAACTAATAATTAGGTTACTGCTGTGTTTTAAGAGTAGATCACTTCTTAAGGGGTTTTAAAGAGCACAGTAAATGACTAGTGAAAGAATTAGTGAAAGTTAAGTGAGTATTAAGTTATGATAGGTGATAAACATTTTAAATAGTAAAGTTTGAATTTTTTATTTAATCTTTTTTTGGCAGTATGAAAATATTCCCTATTTTTTGGTAGTATTGTTTCAGGAGAAGGTTGAAAAAAAAGTCAGGGTCATAGGATGGGAGTTTGTATTCTGTTTACACAAAATTTGCCTGGTTCAGTTACTAACCACTTTAAGGGAATTTGAGATTAGAACTTTATTTTTTCAACACACTTTTCAAATAATCTTAATTTCAGTGACATATCAATTTTGTATTTTTCATGTTAGTATTTAAAAAAATGTTTTAAATGTGTCATTTATTTATTTTTAACTGTATATTTTTCAGGGGAATTCCTGGTAAGTCTGAAGATACTGAATGGTTTTCTCGACCATCGGAAGTTAGTGAAGCTTTATTCCAGGCAGCCTCAGAAGTAGCTTCAGACTTAGTTAACAGTTGCATTAGTGTATCTCAGCACTCGCTTATAGCTAGTACAACTGTTGAGTGTCGGCACTCTTTTTTACCTTTTGAACAAGGAATTAAAGAAGAGACCCCTTCATCTGATACAGTTGATGAACTGAAAACCCCCAATGACTTCGATAGTTATGATGCTCTTTGTTCCTGTATGGCATGGAAGACACAAGAAGTTCAGGAGCCAGAAGTCAGTTTAGCTGATAAAGGTCAAGTTTCTGTTTCGACCTCATCTTATACAAGTGATGAATACATGACTCCTGAAGGAAGTGACAGTTTTGATGCTTCTTGTTCGTATGTGCAGTATTGGAAACAGAAAGCTTCACAGCAGTCAGAAAATTATCTAACCAGTAAGGATCATGATTCTTATTCAGATTCATCCGACACAATTGATAAAAACAAAATTCCTAAGGGAAGTGACAGTTTTCATGCTCCTTTTTCATGTACGCCATGGAGCAAACGGAAAGTTTCACACCATCCAGAAACATATGTGATCAGTAAGGACTGTGTGTCTTTTCCCCATGAAGTTGCTCCTCATTTTAATAACAGAATATCACATTCTTTCTTGCATTGTCTGTTGGAAAGAAGAGGAAAGGGCATTCCATTGACAGCTCACAATCATTATTTTGGGAGTGTTTATTTAAGGGCTCCAGCTGAGAATGAGGTGAAAGAAATGATGGGGTATGAAAGAAATGAAGAAGGTCTGGAGAAAGAACTATCTCAAGGTTTTGAACAAAAGGAGAGTAAAAGTACTTCAGTATTTCCCGAGATGCATCCCCGATCTTCAGAAATACAATTATTTGAGAATGTTGTAGTTCCTGATAATTCTGTAAAAGTTTCGGAAATAGATACACACTCTAGGCAACATGGTACCTCTAAGATGGAGGTTTCTGGTGGTCCTCTTAAGACGATTAAATCCAACTTGGATGAGACATCAGAACAACCGTATTTACAAGAGGAAAGATACCAAAGGGCAGCTTCTGCTTTTGGTGGAAATAGTGTTGATGCTTCTGAAAATGTAGCCTTTGAGGTAGTTATTGCCTCTATTGAGCCTTCCAAGAAAGACAGTACAGTAAATGAAATCCAAACTGACATTAGTAAGTCTTTAATAAATGACAGCCAAGAACGTGAACCAAAAAATTCACATCTTTCTCTATTAAATTATAATGGTGAAAACTCTTTGTTTGATGAGCTCAGTCATTCGCTTTATCAGTCTACTCCTGGGGTGTTTGAATTAGCGGCTTCAAAACCATTGTTGCATAAAAAAGATAATAGTGATAGCTCCCTGTATTGGCATCTTGATTTAAAATCCCTCCCCAGTGCTCCTCAGGAAATGTTCATTAAGCCACTTTCTCTTCCAGAGCTTAAGTCATCTGCTTCTTTAAGTGAAAAATCTCACAGCCAAGCTGCTGGTCTTGGCAAAGCACAGTCAGATTTATTTCAGTGCGATCTAGACAATGAACCATTTCTTCCCATTGGGAAGATAAAGTCTGGTCCTGATCTTGACCTTGCAGAGAAGGCAGGATCTTCAAACATTTTTTATCCAATGAAAGTATCAACTTCAGATTCTTTGGTTTTACAAGATTTAAGAAGATTTGAAGAAATTGCGGATTCCTCAAACTATATTTTGGTTAAGAATGTAAACTCTAGTAACATCATTGAAGGTCCTTCTGCAGGTGTAGGAGGTGGCTTTTCAGCAAACTTGGTGACAAGTGATGCTAAGTCACAAGGTGCTTTACCAATGACCAGTAATGCATCATTAATTCCAGTCGGCCAAGAGTCATTGCTGAAAGCTGATGTAGGCCAAGATAAAATTCCTCAGCCTATGGGAGACAAATCCTATTTTACTATACATACAGTTATGCAAAACGACTCCTATTTTGTAGAGGGCCTGCAGGGGAAGGCTGAATCTGAGACCTCTACTCTGGGTGATGATACTGAATGCTGTGACCTAGATGAAAATGCTATTGTGGGCAGTACAAGAGCTGCTGATCTACAAAGAGAGGTGAGACACAATAAAATGATAGTTGGGGGAAATGTCTTTTCTAGTACTATTTTAGGAAATGGTATTGTTACTTGTTTTTATTTTTCTTTCTTTTAATTTTATGAGCAGGTGTGCGAACAAGGTGACTTGCCTGTTGAGTGCATTGAGCTAGCAGGTTTTAAAAATGTGCTTGATGATCTGGAGGTTTGTGACAGCTCCCTGCACAGGCAGTCTGCCTTAGAACTGCCATCAAAGGAAGAGAGTGATTTTGAAGAGCCTGTAAGTTACTCTGTTTGATATTTCTTATGGGGTAGGGAAAGAATATTTTAGTTGAAAAATGGGGTTGAAAGTAAAGGGCCCATTTATATCCTCTAATACCAACATGTGACTTACAGTCTGATCTTCATCTGATATCCAAGAATATGCTCCATTAATTTGTTAGAGGTTGGCATAAAAGAAATATTTGCGTTTCATAGACCATAAGAGTTAGTGAGTTTTGTGGTGTCTGGGAAAAGGCCTTCCTTTGGAGCTCTCAGGCCTTTTATATTGAGATGTGCTAACTCTTCCCAGTTGTGGCAGCAAGAACTGTGTTCTTGCAGTGTTCAGATTAGACTCACTGGTAGAGATAGTCAGTTGTACATTTTTTCACTCTGCCTTTCAATTTACAAGCATTGGAATAGACCCTGGAATATTTTAAATATTTGTTTGGAAGCTCCTGAAAGGTTTGACTTCAGAGGAGTTTTGAAAATTATAAGAGCCAGTGTTTTCCCAGGAAGGATACTGAGGTGCTTAATATCCACACTAGTTAGTGTCCCCAAAGGAAACTAACTGCCTCCTTCCCAAATGAGTGACATACTGAAGCATATACACATTCCCTCCCTCTCTCTGTTTATATCATTATTATTGTGTATGTGTACTAGAAAATAACTTTGAAGTGTTAAAAAGTTCTCTGTCAAATGAAGTTTCTTTTATACAAAACTTCATTTGCCTGGACGCTTGCCTCTCTTGGTTTTAATGCTCCTTTGGTCCCATTGCCTATCCTCTTTTGTCTGATACTGTCAGCTTCCTTATAATATATCCTTATATTTTATTAGTCATTAAATATAGCTGTACAATAAATGTTGTGTACTTAATGTTACTTTCCCTTTCCTGTTTTTCCATGTATAAGATTAGTATGTCATTGGAAAACTGCTAGTTTGGGTTGCAATCATTTTTAGATCTTTAGGTTCAGGCAGTTGATTAGAGAAAATGAACAAAGATATTGAGATAAACTTTTCCTTTCATTTATGGTTACCGAGTATATAAAAAATTGAAATACAGAGAACTGTGAGGTTAATTTTATTTCCTTTAATATTCTAAAGTAGACATTGTTTGGGCACCTGGGTGGCTCAGTCAGTTAAGCATCTGCCTTTAGCTCAGGTCATGATCCCAGGGTTCTGGGATCAAGCCCACATTGGGCTCCCTGCCCATCTGGGAGCTTTGTTCTTCTTTTTCTGCTCTCCCTGCTTGTGCTCTCTCTCTGTCAAATATATAAAATAAAGTAGACATTGTTTAATTTTCAATCTCTTAATGGGGATGAAAATGATAGTTAACACTGTGTGCTCAAATACTATGCTAAGCGATTTATTTATATACATCAATTCATTTAGTCCTTTGGCCAGTCCTGTCAGGTAAGATTATTGGGGATTGGTATCATCCTCATTTTACAATTGATATTTAGAGGGTTAAGGAACTTGCTCATTGTTACTGAGCAAGTTGAGGACTAGTATTTGATACTAACCTTACCTTTTTTTTTCTTAAGATTTTATTTATTTATTTTTGAGAGAGAGATAGCAAGAGAGTGAGCACGAGCAGAGGGAAAGCAGGATCCCCGCTGAGCTGGGAACCTGACATGGGGCTCAGTTCCAGGACCCTGGGACCATGACCTGACCCAAAGGCAGACACTTAACTGACTGAGCCTCACACGCATCCTGAAACTAATATTATCTATATATTTAACCACTATATCATAAACTGCCTTCCTGTTTAACTATTATTCAGTGAAACCAAAGCCAAGATTTTGCATTATTTTGGCAAGAGTGAAGGTTTTGAAGGGGATTGGTCAAAGTGAATTTCACTAAGAATGAGAAACAAATATAATCAATCTTAAACTTCTAATTTTTTTGGTAGTACTACTTATGTAACTTACAACAACCTTTTATACACATAATATATATCTGAAGAAATGTAGATATGGGTGCCCGGGTAGCTTAGTCGGTTAAGTGTCTGCCTTTGGCTCAGGTCATGATCCTAGTGTCCTGGAATTGAGTGCCCCATCCGGCTCCCTGCTCACTCTTTTGCCTTTAGCCCTCCCCACTGGTTGTGATCTGCCTCTCTCTCTCATGCTCTCTCTTTCTCAAATAAATGAATAAAATCTTTTTTTAAAACCCACAATTTTTTTTAAAGATTTTATTTATTTTGACACAAAAAGAGATCACAAGTAGGCAGAGAGGTGGGCAGAGATGGGGAAGCAAACTCCCCACTGAGCAGGGAGCCCAATGTGGGGCTGGATCCCAGGACCTTGAGATCATGACCTGAGCCTAAGGCAGACGCTTAATGACTGAGCCACCCAGGTGCCCCCAGGAAACCACAATTTTAAAAGATATGTAGATAGATATTCAGTTAATAGTGATACGCTGGCGCCTGGGTGGCTCAGTGGGTTAAAGCCTCTGCCTTCGGCTCAGGTCATGATCCCAGGATCCTGGGATCGAGCCCCACATCGGGCTCCCTGCTCAGCGGGGAGCCTGCTTCCCCCTCTCACTCTCTGCCTGCCTCTCTGCCTACTTGTGATCTCTGTCAAATAAATAAATAAAATCTTTAAAAAAAATAGTGATATGCTAAGATTAATTCTGACCACTATTCCAGATTTTATTTGCCTGCAGCTGTAGCCTTAAGTATACTTCTTCACTTTAGGGAGCATGTTCTCTGTATTCTCTTTCACTCTTAGCTCCATTCTGTAGTCCGGGAGTTACAATGCCAGTATCAGGGAAATAAGGACTCAGATATGGTAGTAATATCCTGCATGGCTCAGCTTGATCTCAGAGGGCTTGCCTGCTTCTTGGTTCCTTTCTTATTCTCATCTGTGTCTCAGAAGAGTCATTCATATTTGTTTGCCTACATTTGATACTAGCCATCATTTCTTTAAACGATTGGTCGGGCATCCACTTGTATATGATGTAGCTTGGGGCTGTGAAAAGAGTGTGGAGATGTGGAGTCAAAACTTGTTCAGTTATTTGTTAGCCTCATGCCTTGGGCAGATGACTTTGGAGGATCATTCTGCTCATCTACATGAAGAAAGAGGAATAGTAACAATCAGCCTCATGCACTGTTATATCGAATGGGGTAAGGTATATACACTGCCTGCCTGTTAGTTCCTTCACTTCACTGAAACCAGGTGACTAGACCCTCACCAGTGATTTCCTCTTGCCTGTCATTATTCTTCCTTCTGTCTTTCTCCTTGTTCCTGGTAGCAGCACATTACATTCTTTTAGCTTCTGTGATAAAATACTGTTTTTAGGAAAGAAAATACTGTTTTAGTATTCCCTGTTTTGGTCATGTAACTAAATATTATTTAAAGTTTATTTTTAGAGTTCTTTTTGTTTTGTTGGTTCTGCGTCTTCCACCAAGTACTTTCCTCTCATGGTTTAAATGCTTTTCTCTGTGTGATGGCTATTACTTCCATTTTTAGATCCTAATATTTCTACTAAGGTAGACCTGAATGCTTTTTTGCATGATATTTTTTTGTGAACGTTCCTGTCACCTCAAACGCAACTTGCCTGTACCAAAAGAACTCAGACGTTTTTATGGAATAGGACTGACTTGTAGATTTTCTTTGTTCTAGAGAAGTTAACATGTCTTGGTTTCTTCATCATCTTTGATGGATTCTTTCTTTATTATTGATTAAAGACTGGGAGATAAGCCAGTTTAATTTTTTTCCTCCTGATTTCTCCCATTTCCAGTTAGTAATGAAGATCTGCTGATCTCTTAAATAAATTCTTCTCATCTTTTTCATTCTACATCTTCTTTTTTTTTTTCTTAAGATTTTATTTATTTGAGAGAGACAGAGAGAGCATGAGCAGGAGGGAGGGGAAGAGGGAGAGGGAAAGGCAGGCTCCCCGTTGAGCAGGGAGTCCAATGCAGGGTTGTCCCAGGACCCCAGGATCATGACCTGAGCCAAAGGCAGATGCTTAACAGACTGAGTCACCCAGGTGCCCTACATTTTCTTTTGCATTAACTACTCTAGTATCCGTATATTTCGAAGCTTTGATAATAATGTTTTATTTATTTACTAAATTTTAATTCCAGTATAGTTAACATACAGTGTTATATTAGTTTCAGGTGTACAATATTCTGTACATTAACAATTCTATACATTACTCAGTGCTTATTGTGTTAAGTATACTCTTAATTCCCTTCACTTACTGCACCTGTCTCCTCCTCTCCCCCAACCATCAGTTTGTTCTCTATAGTTAAGAGTCTGTTTTGTTTTTGTCTCTTTTTTTTTGTTGTTCATTTGTTTTGTTTCTTAAATTCCACATAAGTGAAATTACATGGTGTTTGTCTTTCTCTGACTGACTTAATTCACATAGCATTATACATTCTAGATTTGTCTGTGTTGTTGCAAATGGCCAGATTTCATTCTTTTTTATGACCGAATGTTAATGAAATCGTATCGAAGTCAAGATTGGAATAGAAATTTTTTTTTCTAACTATATATTTGAAAGGTCTAGAGAAAAACTATTAAATACACATATGTGCCTGGGGATACACACACGAAGTCTCAATCATATATGTGATACTTGTGTTAATGAACTGTACTTCAAAAAAGTCTCCTTTAGGGGTGGGATAATTGAAAACTTAGAACTTTGTGCTTTGTTTAGAGCAGAGTTTCTCTGTACTGTTGTCTTTTTGGGTATGATATTTCTTTGTTGTGGGGGGTCTGTGCATTTTAGGCTGCTGAGCAACATCCCTGGCTTCTACTCACTAGATGTCAATAGCCACACACACTGCCCCCAACACCCAAAGTCAGGACAGTGAAAAATGTCTCCAGACATTGCCAGATGTTTCTTGATCAGGGAGAGATGGGTAGGGGCAAAATCTCCCACAACTGAGAAACACTGGTGTAGAGAAAACTAGACCAAGGCAGCAGAAGTAGACCATTTATTTTACATCCTGCCAGCTTCCTAAGATTGTTCATTACAGCACGATGAAAAAACCTTGACAAAAGAGGATCGAACAAAATTCATCTTTACATACATTTTTAGACTCTCCTGAGACTGCATCAAGAAGTGGGAATAATATTTTTAGGAAAATAAAGAAACCTAGATGTGGTTTATTGTTTTTATATGAGAATATGATGTGAATTTGGTGGGAAATTATATATGTTTATGTACTGACTTCACCAGAGTTGGTTTCTAATTTCTTTTCTAGTAAGGACTTGCTGGGATCTGATGAAACTTTGAGAACTTCTTTTTCAGCATTTAACCTTTGCTTCACTGTCAGTTTGTATTTCCCACTATTCTTGTTTAAAGAAATTTGAGGACTTAGGCTTTTTGGTGATTGATCATAGATCCAGTTCTTTGATACTTTTTTTTTTTTTTCTAAACATTTGTGGATTTCTTGAAAATATTCCTGTTCTCTCTTTCCTTCTTACAACATAACCTCTCCTTTAAAAAAAAAAAAAAATCCTTGAGCTTGTCAAGAGTAATACCAAAGTTCACATTCTTCAGTGATCATACCATTATATGGAACAAACCAGATAGGCTTCCTATCTGTAATTTTCTATATAGGCAGACTTCCAGACCCTCAAGAGTAATTTGTAGAGCCTTCTTAGAATTGACCAAACAAGATATGACTTGTAAATGAATTTAGGAGGGTTGAGAATATGAGCTTAAGGAACTATTAAGTATTCATTTTCATAAAAATTAGGTTTGTTTTAATCAGGTGAAGCCTACTATTAATCCTATTTTCTTTATTTTTTCTCTCTTTTTATAGGTAGGTTGTTCTAATACGGACACTAATCAGACTTTTTCATCCACATTGCCTCCATTTACTCCTGATGAGCCAACCATAGAGTTGGAGTATCACTCCTCAGATCTCAGGATGTTGAGGGTATCTCCTGACACTTTGCAAAAGTCTCTCAAACATATAGCAGGTATGTAGAAAAGAAGATATTAGATGTCCGTGTGACTAGCTTGCTAAAAATACATTGCTGTGGCTAACTAATTTTTTATTTTTGAACACTTTCAGTAATGTTAACTTTGGATTAGGTGTATTTATAAATCCCCAAATCTTTTATTAGGTGAATCATTTGGTTTTTCATTGCCTTCTCTATGGCAGTGTTTAGAACTGAGTTACGTGGCCGAGTCTATTAGAGTCAGTTTATTATTTCTGCATTCCTTTCTGTGACTTGAAGGGAAGAAAGAAATTAATGGAGCACAAGAGGAAAAGAGTGGATCCCAATAAATTTGTAGAGAAGAAACAAAGATCAGTTCTGAGGTAGAAAGCAAGATTATCTGCTGAGGGGAGGTAGTGATAAAGGAGGGTTAGGGGTTAGGGGGGTTAAGGAGAGTAGATTGGTGCAGGCTCAGAATTTATGTTAAAGTGAATAGGAATTGCAGCTGACCAAGAACAAGCAAAAGAATTGGCAGGTAGTTCTGAGAAGTCAGCTGAGGTTGGAGATGATTCTATAATGTTGTCAGCCTTTCTAGAATCTCTGGTTTTTCTCTTCTAAAACTCAAGACTGCAGAAATTGAGTTATAGGTTGATCCTCGGTTTTGCTGAGGGATTTGTTGAGTGGGTGGATGTGGTGGATGAAAAACAGTGGAAGGGAATCAGTAAATATTAAATGTTTAGATCTGTGAATGTGCTTGTCTTTCCTTTGATAGAATGCCATTTTATATTAAATGCTTTGATCTATAAATATGGGACATCTTTTTATTTAGGTTTTCTTTATTTTTTTCAACAATATTTTGTAGTTTTCAGTGTATGAGCCTTGCAGTCCTTTGTTAACTTAATTCTTTTTTTTTTTTTTTTAAGATTTTATTTATTTATTTGACAGAGAGATCACAAGTAGGCAGAGAGTCAGGCAGAGAGAGAGAGAAGCAGGCTCCCTGCTGAGCAAAGAGCCCGATGAGGGGCTCGATCCCAGGACACTGAGATCATGACCTGAGCCGAAGGCAGCAGCTCAATCCACTGAGCCACCCAGGCGCCCTTGTTAACTTAATTCTAAGTATTTTAATCTTTTTGTTGAAAAAAAAAAAACTTTTCTTAATTTCATTTTTGGAGTATTCATTGCTAGTGTATGGAAATACAGTTGAATTTTGTTAATTGTATAGCTGCAGTCTTACTGAACTATTTGTTATTACCTCTAATATATTTTTGTGTGGATTTCTTATAATTTTTATATACATGACCACGTCATCTTCATATATAGTCTTCTTTCTTTCCAGCATGGATACCTTTTATATATTTCAGATTCCCAACTGCCCCCAACTAGAACCTTCAGTACAGTGTTGCATAAAAGTGGCAAGAGCAGACATCCTTGTCTTTTCCTGATCTTTGTAGAAAGATATGAAGTCTTTTATCATTAAGTATGATGTTAGCTGTGGGATTTTTGTAGACTATCTTTATCAGGTTGAGGAAGTTCCCCTTTATTTGTATTTTTTAGAGCATATTTATCATGTTACCATATAAGGGTGTTAAATTTTGTCAGATTTTTTTTTCTGCCTCTTTTATTATGATCACATGGTTTTTGTCTTATATTCTCATAATATAGTACATTGTTAATTTTCATATAACCGACCTTGCAGTCTTGGTTATATATGCCATTTGGTTATGACATATAATTCTTTTTGTATGTTGTTGGATTTTTTTGGCAAGTAATTTTTTGAGGACTTTTGTATTTATATTCATAGTGGGTATTGGTGTGTACATTTGTTGTGATTTTTGTTATTGGCTTTGGCGCAAGAATAATACTAATGTTACAAGTTGAGGTAAGAAGCATTATCTCTTCTAGTTTCGCTAATGTCACAAGTTGGAATGAGAAGCGTTGTCTCTTCTAGTTTTGCTAATGTCACAAGTTGGGATGAGATGTGTTGTCTTCTAGTTTTTGAAAGAGTTTGTAAAGGATTAGTTTTTATTGGGTGAGGGCTGCCTGCCTCTTTGTAGAAGTTTTAAAATTACTAATTCCATCTCTCTGCTTGCTATAAGTATTTATATTTTATATTTTTCATGAATCAGTTTTCATAATTTGTGTCCTTTGTGGAATTTGTCCATTCCACCTAGGTTATATAATTTGTTGGCATATAACTGTTCATGGTATTTGCATATAATCCTTCTTATTTTGGAAGATTGGTAGTAATACCCCTTCTTTCATTCATGATTTCAATATTTTGAATTTTCTCTTTCTTTTTTTAGTGAGTCTAGCCAAGTTTTGTCAATTATGTTCATCTTTTCAAAGAAATAAACTTTGGTTTCTCTACTTTTTCTGATCTCTTTTCTCTACATTTAAATTTCTGTTTTGTTCCCATTTTAGTCTTTATTTTTTCCTTCCTTTCACACTTCAGCTTTGGTTTGTGCTTTTTACTATTTCTTGAGGTGAAAGAATAGGTTATTGATATGAAACCTTTTTTTGAGATTTCTCATCTGTTTATTTGAGAGAGAGAGAGAGAGAATATATGAGCTGTGGGGAGGGACAAAGGGAGAGAGAGAAGCAGACTCCCTGCTGAACAGGGAGCCTGATGTGGTACTTGATCACAGAACCCTGAGACCATGACCTGAGCTGAAGGCAGACCCTTAGCCAGCTGAGCACCCAGGTACTCCGAGACTTTATTTTTGATATAGGTGTTTACATTTAGATATTTCTAAGCACTACTCTAGTGGCATGCTCAGAGTTTTCGTTTCTTGTGTTTTTGTTTTAATTCATCTAAAATATTTTTAAGTTTCCATTGCAATTTGTTTTTGTTGACCCCGTGGTTATTTGGGTATGTCTTGTTTAATTTCCACATATTTTTTACTTTCCTTTTGTTATTAATATCTCATTTGATTCCATTTTTGTTGGAGAACACCTGCTTTGTATGATTTTAGTTCATTTACATTTTACTGAGGCTTGCTTTTATGTCCTAGTGTGTAGTTTATTCTGTAGAATCTATGGTTTACTCTTAAGAAGAATGTGTATTCTGCTGTTGTTAGGTGGTGTGTTCTATACGTGTCTCTTAGTTCTAGTGGGCATATAGTGTTCAAGTCTTCTGTATCCTTGTTGATCTTCTGCCTAGTTTTCTCTATTTTTGAAAGTAAGCTATTGAAATCTTGAACTATAATTGTTTGTCTGTTTTATCATTTTTTCTGTCTTATTTGCTTCATATCTTTTGAGACTATGATATTAGGTGCATTTATGTTTATAATTGTTGTATATTCCTGATGAATTGACCTTTTTGTTGTTACAAATGGTTGCCCTTTAATTCTAGTAACATTTTTTGTTTTAAGGTCTGTTTTCTTTTACGTCAGTATAGTCACTTCAGTTCTTATGCTTGCTGCTTGTATGGCATATGTTTTTCATCCCTTTACTTTCAACCTATTTGTTTTTTTTTTTTAATCAGAAGTGCTATCTCTTGGGGCGCCTGGGTGGCTCAGTGGGTTAAAATATATAAAAATATATAAAAATAAAAAAAAAATTTTAAGACTTTATTTATTTATTTGCCAGACAGAGGTCACAAGTAGGCCAAGAGGCAGGCAGAGCGAGAGGAGGAAGCAGGCTCCCTGCCAAGCAGGGAGCCCGACACGGGACCCAAGCCCAGGACCCTGGGATCGTGACCTGAGCCGAAGGCAGAGGCTTTAACCCACTTGAGCCACCCAGGCGCCCCTAAAAATAAAAATCTTAAAGTGTATCTCTTGTAAACAGCTTATATAGTTGGATCTCATGTTTTTTGTTTTTTTTTTTTTTTTTTAATCCAGACTGACAGTCTTTGCCTTTTAATGTGACTGTTAATCAACTCATGTTCAATGTCATTATTAAGATTGGATATATATTTACTGGGTTACTTTTTGTTTTCCATGTTTCTTGGTTTTTTTTTTTTTTTGTTATGCTCCTCCCTGCTTTTTATTGGACTTAGTGAATGTTTTCTAGTGTCACATTTTAATTTTTAAAATTATTTTCTAGTTAATTTTTAAAGTTATATCCTAGGGGCACCTGGGTGGCTCAGTGGGTTAAGCCTCTGCCTTCAGGACAGGTCATGATCCTGGGGTCCTGGGATGAATCAGGCTCTCTGCTCAGCGGGGGGCCTGCATCCCCCCCCCTCCCCCTCTGCCTGCCTCTCTGCCTACTTGTGATCTCTCTCTTTCTGTCAAATAAATAAAATCTTAAAAAAATAAAGTTATATCCTAGTCATTGCTCTAGGGCTTACAGAATTTATCTTATTAGAATATATACCTGATTTATACTAACTTAATTATAGTGTAATACAGAAACTCCTATATGGTTCTATTCTCTTTTGTGTGTGCTATTACTGGTATATGTATTATACCTATATGTGTTACAAACATGCAAGAATACATTATTATTGTTACATTATTAAACTTACTTTTATAATTTTTTGTATTTTTACGGAGCTGAGAGAAGTAAGGAGAGCAAGTATTTAGAGTTTATTATATCAGTCTTCTGATTTACCATTTTTTATTCTCTTTATTTGTTCCTGTGGATTTGTTACCATCCAGTCTTTTCCTTACTCCACTCCAGCTTTGCTCCCATTTGCCTCCTTTTGATTTTCATTGTCAAATATGTTACATTTCTATATGTGATAGCTCTACTAATATAGTTAAATACATATTGTTTTGTGTAAAATTGCTTTTAAAATCAGTTAAGAGAAGAAAGGAAATGAAATATGTAAATATGCTGTCTTTTTGTAATTACCTACATAATTATCTTTACTAGCACTGCTTTGTTTTGTTTTGTAAATTCAAATTACTGTCTGGTGTCACTTGCTTTCAGCCTGAAGAATTCGTTTAGTATTTCTTGTGTGATTGTTCTGCTACCAACAGATTCTCTCAGTTTTTATATACCTGGTTTTTATATGTTTTTATATGTTTTTATTTCATCCTTTTGGAAGTTTTGTTGAATTTATGTTTGGTTGATAATTTTTTTTTTTTTTTAAGATTTGATTTATTTATTTGACAGAGAGATCACAAGTAGACAGACAGGCGGGGGTGGGGGGAGGCAAGCTCCCTGCTGAGCAGAGAGCCCGATGCGGGGCTTGATCCCAGGACCCTGAGATCATGACCTGGAGCTGAAGGCAGAGGCTTAACCCTGAGCCACCTAGGCAACCCTGATAATCTTTTTTGTTTTAGCACTCTGAATATATCTTTCCATGGTCTTCTGGCCTTTATTGTTTCTGATGAGAAATCAACTATTGATCTTATTAACATTCCCTTGTATTGATTTGTTTTCTCCTGCTGCTTTCAAGATACTCAGTCTTTCAACATTTTGATTATGATGTTGTGTGGATCTATGTGTTTATCCTACACCGAGTTCATTGAGCTTCTCAGATGTGTAAATTATCTTTCCATTTATTTGAGTCTTTTTCCACTTCTTTCATCAATGTCTCATACAGATCTTTCACCCCCTTGTTAAATTTATTCTTAGCGGTTTTTTTTAAATGTAATTGTAAATGGGATTGTGTTCTTGACTTTTCTAATAGTTCTTTATTAGTGTATAAAAGCATAACTGATTTTTGTATGTTAATTTTGTATCCTGCGACTTTACCAAATTTATTAGTTCTGACAGTTTTTTGGTGGAGTCTTTAGGAGTTTCCATATGTAATACCATGTCATCTGTAAACAGAGACAGTTTTACTTCTTCCTTGTCTATTTGGATGCTTTTCTCCCCACTCCCCCCCCTTTTCTTGCCTGATTGCTCTGGCTAGGATTTCCAATACTATGTTGAATAAAAATGGTGAGGGTGGGAACCCTTATCTTGTTCCTGATCTTAGAGGAAAAGCTTTCACCTTTTCACTGTTGAGGGTAATGTTAGCTGTGGGCTTTTTATATATGGGCTTCGTAATATTGAGGTATGTTCCCTCAACACCCCCTTTATTGAGAGTTTTTATTGTGAATGAATGTTGAGTTTTGTCAGTTGCTTTTTCTACATCCACTGAACTGATCACATGATTGTTATCCTTCGTTGTTAATACTGGTGTATCATATTGATTGATGTGCAGATACTGAGCTGTCCTTGCATTCCTGGAATAAAGCCCACTTAATAATGTTATATGATTTTTTTAAAGTATTGTTGAATTCAGTCTGCTAATATTTTGTTGAGGATTTTTGTATCTCTGTTCATTAGGGGCATTGACTTATAATTTTACTTCTTTGTAATTTCCTTGTTTGGTTTTGGTATTAGAGTAATGCTGGCTTTATAAAATGAGTTTGGAAGTGTTCCCTTTTATTTTTTTAAAGAATTTGAGGTATTTTGGTGTAAATTATTTGAATATTCAGTAGAATATTCAGTAGTGAAGCCATCCGGTTCTAGAGTTTGATTTGTTAGGACACTTTTTTTTTTTTTAAAGATTTTATTTATTTATTTATCTGACACAGATCACAAGTAGGCAGAGAGAGAGGAGGAAGCAGGCTCCCTGCTGAGCAGCGAGCCCGATGTGGGTCTCGATCCCAGGACCCTGGGATCATGACCCGAGCCAAAGGCAGAGGCTTTAACCCACTGAGCCACCCAGGCACCCCTGTTGGGACACTTTTGATTACTGATTCAATCTCCTTACTAGTAATTGGTCTAATCAATTTCCTATTTCTTCATGATTCAGTCCTGTAGGTTATATGTTTCTTCTAGATTGTAAAATTTGTTGATGTAAAATTATTTGTAGAAAGTCTTTTATGATCTTTTATATTTCTGTGATATCAGTTGTAATATTTCCTTTTCCATTTTTGTATTTTATTATTTGTGTCCTCTCTGGGTTTCTTTGGGTGGCGGTGGTGGTGATTTTAGCTAACGATTTGTCAGTTTATTTATCTTTTAAAAGAATCAGATCTTTGTTTCATTGATCTTTTTTCTTTTCTATTGTCCTTTTAGTTTCTCCTTCATTTGTTTTTGCTCTGGTTTATGTTTTCTTCCTTCTGCTGGCTTTGGGCTTTGTTCTCTTTCTGGTTCTTTAAGATGTAAAGTTAGGTTGTTTATTTGAGATCCTCTTATTTCTTGATATAGGCATTTATCATTATGGACTTCCCTCTTAGAACTGCTATAACTGTACCCCATAAGTTTTGGTATTTCCATTTTCATTTTTTCAGGTGTTTTTTTTTTTTTAATTAAAATATAATGTATTATTAGCATCAGGGGTACAGGTCTGTGAGTCGCCAGGTTTACACACTTCACAGCACTCACCAGAGCACATACCCTCCCCAATGTCCATAACCCCAAAGGTATTTTTGATTTCTCTTTTGATTTCCTCTGTGAGCCATTTGTTGTTCACTTTGTTAATCTGTTTTGCTTTATTAATTTCTTGAGTCTTTTTTTCTCACTTTCCATAACTTTCCATAACTTCTATTCCTTTTCAAGTTACTGTGCAGATTACATTCATCCCTTCTCCTTTAGTTTTCCTGAAGAGTTAATACTTGATAATGTACTTCCTTACCTTATAATTCACTCCTCAACCCATTTAATTCTATATTTAGTTACTTTTTTGAAGCTCATCATTGAGTTTAGAATAGCAGAAACTAATAATTCAGTGAAAAGAGCTCAGAATTTGGAGTTAGAATTAAAAGATTAAAGTACCTGTTTTTGTCTTTTACTGTAGAACTCTGGAGAAGTTGTATTTCTTTACCAATCAAAATGTAGTCTGAGGACCAAAAGTATGGGACATCACTAGGGATTTTGTTAGAAATTCAAAATTTCAGATCCCACTCTAGACCTAATTTTTTAAAAAACTTATTTATTTATTTGACAGATAGAGATCACAAGTAGACAGAGAGGCAGGCAGAGAGAGAGAGGAAGGGAAGCAGGCTCCCAGCTGAGCAGAGAGCCCGATGCAGGGCTCCATCCCAGGACCCTGGGATCATGACCTGAGCTGAAGTCAGAGGCTTTAACCCACTGAGCCCACCAAGGCGCCCCCACCGTAGAACTATTGAATCAGAATCTGCAAGTTAGTAAGATCTCCATATTGAGAAGCAATCTTATATTTTCATCTTTGAAACTTAATTTCTTTATGTGCAAAGTGCTGAAGGTCCCCAGCTTAGGATGCTTTGACGTAGGATTTTCATCTTTATCATGTGCATTCAGTAGAAACCATACTCCAATTTATGAATTTTGCTATTTTCTTAGGCTAGCCATATGTGGTATGATATTCTTTTGTGATGTTGGGTAGCAGCCGTGAGCCACAGCTCCCAGTCAGCCACATGATTATAATGGTAAAAACCTGATACACTTAACAACCATTCTCTACCCATACAGCCATTCTGTTTTTTGCTTTTAGTACAGTATTCAGTAACAAGATACTTAACATTTTATTATCAAATAGTCTTTGTGTTAGGTAATTTTGCCCAATTTTTGGCTAGTGTAAATGTTCTGAGCATGTTTAAGTTAGGTGAGGCTAAGCTGTGATATTTCATATGTGAGATTATTATATGTATTTTTGACTTACATGGTTTCATCTTAAGATGGGCTTATCAGGTTGTAACTCCATTGTAAGTTGAGGAAGAGTTGTATAGATAATACTTGTATATATCAACCATTTTGCCATCATCTAACATCCCATATGTTTTATCAATTTTTGTCTGCTTCCTACTATTAGAATGTAAGCTTTGTAAGGCAGAATTAGAGTGTAAACTTTGTCTGTTTGTTTATTGCCCTATTTCCTATATCTAGAACTGTGACTGGCACATAGTAAACATTAATTATTTTTTGAATGAACAAATGGATGAATGCATATCTTGTCAAATCTTATCATTTCTATTGCAGTCATTTACTTCCCACTGACATTTAGATTTAGAAGTACTGGATTAGACAGTACAAATACAGAAATTTCTGTTGTTGTAGAAAGTTCTGTTAGATAATACTACTTAGGCTTTTGCATTCTGTTCCCACTCATCTTGAATCTGTATTTCTGCAGTATAGGTCAGTTCCAATTTATCAACTCCTCATGCCATTTAGAGTTAAGTTCAGAATCTTTAGTGTAATCTTTACACACTTTATAGTTTCATACAGTTAATAAACATATCTTTCTGAAGGCTCATTTACTAGAAGAATCATTTAAAACCCACTGCTTGCATAGCATCCATCTGGGCCATATTGCACTGCCATTGTAAGACTCAAGGGATAGGGGAACCCATGAAAATAAGTTGAAGATCCTTTGCTATGCCATGGAATGAAGTATTTTGTCTCTGATTGAGGAGTCGCATATCTTTTAATGGCATACATGGCCCAATAACAGGCTAACTTATTAGGTTGTAACTAGGGTGAAATTAAAGTCCAGACTGGATAGCATTTTCCCATCACGTTAAAATTCTTTAAAAATCCGGGGCGCCTGGGTGGCTCAGTGGGTTAAAGCCTCTGCCTTGGGCTCAGGTCATGATCTCAGGGTCCTGGGATCGAGCCCCTCTTCGGGCTCTCTGCTCAGCAGGGACCCTGCTTCCTCCCCTCTCTCTCTGCCTGCCTCGCTGCCTACTTGTGATCTCTTTGTCTGTCAAATACATAAATAAAATCTTTTAAAAAAAATTCTTTAAAAATCCCAATTTTAATAAAGATCCACCTATCATATCAAATGGATATGCTGCTATTTTTAAACATTACTCTATTGTTGAATATTTAAATTATGTCTACATTAGTTTGCTGTTGTAAATGGCTTTATAATTAATATCTTTGTAAATATTTGTCTCCTTTGATGACTTTTCTTAGGATTCTTTACTAGAAGTGTAAAGGTCAAAGGAAGGAAAGCTTTTTTTTTTCTTTTATGCATAAAAGAAATATTTCTTAATTAAAAACATATTAGTATTAATAAGTCTCTTTTTATAGGAGATACTTCTAAAGGAGGCATACCTGAAGTTACTCATTCCAACTCGAAACCAGGCATCACTGCTACTGCTGGAGATTCAGATACTGGATCTCTTTTATCCTTCTTCCCCAAGGACTTTCCTCAGTTGGCTTTAAGGTCTCCTCAAGAGAATACTGTTGGTCAGCATACTGATACACTCAACCAGCAGGCACCAGTAGATAGTAAGATAAGTGAAGAGATTCTAAAACTTTCAGCTGTTAGTGAACTAGCTGACCAGAAGACTGGGATATCAACAGTACCCTCTAGTTCCTACTCACAAAGAGGGAAGCCCAATATTTTCTACCCACAAGCCTTACCAGACAGTCATCTAACTGAAGAGGCTCTAAAAGTTTTGGCTGTTCCTGGTCCTGCTGTGCAGAAGGGTGGCATACCTACAGTCCTTCCAAGCTCCTACTCACATGGAGAGAAGCATAATGTCTTCTACCAACAGGCCCCGCCAGACAGTCATCTAACTGAGGAGGCTCTGAAAGTTTTGGGTGTTCTTCATCCTTCTGACCAGAAGACTGGCATACCTGCTGTCCTTCCAAGTTCCTACTCACGTAGAGAGAAGCATAATATCTTCTACCAGCAGGCACCGCCAGACAATCATCTCACTAAAGAGACTGTAAAAGTTTCGGGTGTTTCTGGTTCTCCTGTCCAGAAGAGTGGCATACCTACTGTCCTTCCAAGTCCTTACTCACGTGGAGAGAAACATAGTATTTTCCACCCTCAGGCCTTGCCAGACAGTCATCTAACTGAAGAGACTCTGAAAATTTCAGCTGTTCCCGTATCTGCTGACCAGGGGACTGAAAAGACGATAGTTCCTTCTAGTTCCTATTCACGAAGAGAGAAGCACATTATTTTCTCCCAGCAACAGTTGTCAGATGGTCATCTAACTAAACAGGTTCTGAAAGTTTCATTTGTTCCTCGGCCAGCTGATCAAAACACTGGGATACCTACATTATCTTCACATTCCTACCCACTTGGAGAGAGGCCCGATATCTTTTACCAACAGGTCTTGCCAGATAGTCATTTAATTGAACAGACTCAGAAAATTGTGGCTCTTTCTGAACCAGCTGACCAGAAGACTAGGATACCCTCTACTTCTTACTCACACAGAGAGAGGCCCCCTATTTTCTATCAACAGACATTGCCAGAAAGTCATCTAACTGAACAGGCTCTGAAATTTTCTGCTTCTGGATCCACTGAGCAGAAGATTGGGATACCAACCTCTACTTTACTCTCACGTAGAGACAAGTCCAGTATTTTCTACAAACAGGAGTTGCCAGATAGTCATCTAATTGAACAGGCTCAGAAAGTTCCATCTGTTCCCGGACCAGCTGACCAGGATACTGGGATACCAGTAGTGCCCTCTAGGCCCTACTCTCTTGGCGAAAAGCCCAATGTTTTCTATCAGCAGGTATTACCAGATAGTTCTCTAACTGAAGAGGCTCTGAAAGCTTCATCTGCTCCTAGGCCAGGTGACCAGAAGACTGGGATACCAGCAGTATCCTGTAGTTCCTACTCACATAGAGAGAAGCCTGGTATTTTCTACCAAAAGGTCTTACCAAGCAGTCATCAATCTGAAGAGGCTCTGAAAGTTTCAGTTGCTTCTGAACCAGCTGAAAAAAATAGTGGGTTACTATCAGAAGCTTCTAATTTCTACTCACATAGAGAGAAGCACAATATTTTCTACGAACAGGAGTTGACAGACAGTTCTCTAACTGAACAGGCTCAGAAAGTTTCACCTGTTCCTGAACCTACTGACCAGAAGACCAAGATATCAACAATAACTTCTTCTTACTCGGATGTAGAAAAGCCCTTTATTTTCTACCCACAGAGCTTGCCAGACAGTCATCTGCCTGAAGAAGCTCTAAAAGTTACAGGTGTTTCTGAACCCACTGACCAGAAGACTGGAATACCAGTAGTTCCCTCTCCTTCCTCCTCAGGTACAGAGAAACCCATTATTTTCTACCCTCAGGGCTTGACAGATACTCATTGCACTGAAGAGGCTCTGAAAGCTTCAGCCATATCTGTATCAGCTGACTGGAAGTCTGGAAAATCAACAGTATCCTCTACTTCCTACTCATCTAAGGAGAAGCCCATTTTTTCCCCTCAGGCCTTGCCAGGCAGCCAGTTACTTGAAGAGGCTCTGAATATTTCAGCTATTTCTGGATCAGCTGACCAGAAGACTGGGTTGCCATTAGAACCTTCTAGTTCCTGCCCACCTAGAGAGAAGCCCATTACTTTATACCCACAGGACTTGACAGACAGCCAAGTGTCTCAGGAGGCTCTGAATATTTCAGCTGTTCCTGGATCAACTGACCAGAAGACTGGGTTGCCATCGGAACCTTCTAGTTCTGACTCACCTAGAGAGAAGCCCATTACTTTATACCCACAGGACTTGACAGACGGCCAGTTACCTCAAGAGGTTCTGAAAGTTTTAACTGTTCCTGGACCAACTGACCAGAAGACTGGGTTGACACCAGAACCTTCTAGTTCCTACTCACCTCGGGAGAAGCCCGTTATTTTTTCCCTTCAGGCCTTGCCTGGCAGTCAGTTACTTGAAGAGGCTCTGAAAGTTTCAGTTGTTCTTGGACCAGCTGACCAGAAGACCGGGTTGCCATCAGAACCTTCTAGTTCCTACTCGGCTAAAGAGAAGCCCATTATTTTCTACCCACAGGGCTTGACAGATGGCCAGGTACCTCAGGAGGCTCTGAAAGTTTCATCTGTTCTTGGACCAACTGACCAGAAGCCTGGGTTGACACCAGAATCTTCTAGTTCCTACTCACCACAAGAGAAGCCCATTATTTTTTCCTCTCAGGCCTTGCTTGGCAGTCAGTTACTTGAAGAAGCTCTGAAAATTTCAGCTATTCCTGGACCAGCTGACCAGAAGACTGGGTTGCCATCGGAACCTTCTAGTTCCTACTCGGCTAGAGAGAAGCCCATTATTTTCTACCCACAGGGCTTGATAGATGGCCAGGTACCTCAGGAGACTCTGAAGGTTTCAGCTATTCCTGGACCAGCTGACCAGAAGACTGGGTTGACACCAGAACCTTCTAGTTCCTACTCCCCGTGGGAGAAGCCCATTATTTTCTACCCAGAGGGCTTGACAGACTGTCTGGTATCTCAGGAGGCTCTGAAAGTTTCAGCTGTTCCTGGACCAACTGACCAAAAGATTGGGTTGCCATCAGAACCTCCCAGTTCCTATTCACCTCGGGAGAAGCCCATTATTTTCTATCCACAGGGCTTGACAGATGGCCAGGTGCCTCAGGAGGCTCTGAAAGTTTCAGCTATTCCTGGACCAGCTGGTCAGAAGACTGGGTTGCCATCAGAACCTTCCAGTTCCTATTCACCACGGGAGAAGCCCATTATTTTCTACCCAGAGGGCTTGGCAGACAGTCAGGTATCCCAGGAGGCTCTGAAAGTTTTAGCTATTCCTGGACCAGCTGACCAAAAGACTGGGTTGCCATCAGAACCTTCCAGTTCCTACTCATGTAGGGAAAAGCCCATTATTTTCTACCCCCAGGGCTTAACACACAGTCCGATATCTCAGGAGCCTATGAAAGTTTCAGCGATTCCTGGACCAGCTGACCAGAAGACTGGGTTGCCATCGGAACCTTCCAGTTCCTACTCTTATAGAGAGAAGCCCATTATTTTCTACCCTCAGGGCTTGGCAGATAGTCAGTTACCTCAGGAGGTTCTGAAAGTTTCAGCTGTTCCAGGACCACCTGACCAGAAGACTGGGTTGCCATCAGTACCTTCCAGTTCCCACTCATATAGAGAGAAGCCCATTATTTTCTACTCACAAGGCTTGACAGATAGTCGGGTGTCTCAGGAGGCTCTGAAAGTTTCAGCTATTCCTGGACTTGTTGACCAGAAGATTGGGTTGCCATCAGAACCTTCTAGTTCCTACTCACCTAGAGAGAAGCCCATCATTTTCTACCCACAGGGCTTGACAGATGGTCAGGTACCTCAGGAGGCTCTGAAAGTTTCAGCTGTTCCTGGACCAGCTGACCAGAAGACTGGGTTAACAGCAGAACCTTCTAGTTCCTACTCAAACAGAGAGAAGTCTAATATTTTTTACCAGCAGGAGTTATCAGGCAGTCATCTAACTGAAGAGACTCTGAAAGTTTCAGCTGTTTCTGGAACAAGTGATCAAAAGACTGGGATACCAACGGTACCTTCAAGTTCCTACTCACTTGGAGAGAAGCCCATTATTTTCTATCAGCAGGCCTTATTGGATAGACCTCTCACTGAAGAGGCTCTGAATGTTTCACCATCTCCTGGACCAGCTGATCAGGAGACTGGGATACCAACAGTATCTTCTGTTTCTTACTCTCATAGAGAGAAGCCCAATATTTTGTACCAACAACCCTTGTCAGACGATCAGCTGGCTGTAGAAGCTCTGAAAATTTCAGCTGTTTCTGGACCAGGTGATCAGAAGACCAGAAAACCAACAGTTACCTCGGCTTCTTATTCACATAGAGAGAAGCCCATCATTTATCAGCAAGAGTTTCCAGATATTACTGAAGCATCTTTAAATGTTTTCAGGGTGCCCGGACTAGGTGACCAGAAGACTGGAATACCAGTAGTAACCTCTACTCCTTACTCACATAGAGAGAAGCCCATCATTTCTTACCAGCAGGAGTTGCCAGATCCTAATGAAGGTACTGTAAAAATTTTAGGGGCTCCTGGGTCTGCTGACCAGAAGACTGGGATACGATTTGGGTCCTCTGCTTCCTATTCACATAGAGAGAGCCCCATCTTTTCTTACCAGAGGGAGTCGCCAGGTGTTACTGAAGAAGCTCTAAAAGTTTCAGCTGTTTCTGGACCAGGTGACCAGAAGACTGGGATACATATAATTCCCTCTAGTTCCTACTCATATAGAGAGAAGGATGGTATTTTTAAACAGCAGGAGTTACCAGCTGTTACTGAAGAAGCTTTAAAAATTTTTGCTCTTCCTGGACCTGCTGATCAGAAGACTGAGATACCAATAGGACCTTCTAGCTCTTGCTCACATAAAGAGAAACTCAAGCTTTCACCTGTGACTTTACCAGATGACCAAAACACTGAGTTACTAACAGCTCCCCTTAGTTCCTACTCACAAGGAGAAAAGCCCAAAATTTCAACTGTGATTGGACCAGATAACCACACAACTCCATTACTGACAGTTTTTCGTAATTCCTATTCTCAGAGAGTAAAGCCCAGTATTTTCTTTCAACAAGAACTGCCAGATAGACATTGTAGTGAGGATATTTTGAAAATTTCACCTATCTCTGAACCAACTGATGTGAACTCTGGGATATCAATACCTCTTTCTAGTTCCTATTCCCACAGAGAGAAATCTAATATTTTCTACCCACAGGAATTGCCAGACAAACATCTAGCTGAAAATGCACTGAAGGTTTCAACAATTCCTGTACTAGCTGACCAGAAAAGTCTGTCACCAACAGTTCCTTCTAGTTCCTTTTCACACAGACAGAAACCAAATATATTCTATCAACAGAATTTTCCAGATAGACATGTAACGCAAGATGCTCTGATGTTCTCAGGGGGTGTTGGGCAAGTTGATCAGATTACTGGGTTATCAACAGTTACCCCTGGAACTTATTCACATAGTGAGAAGCAAAAACTTGTTTCAGACCATGTTCAAATGCTAATAGATAATTTGGATTCTTCAAACTCCAGTGTTATCTCAAACAATATGCCTTTAAGTTCTCAGACTGATGGTAGAGTTGTAATAAGTAAACCAGAATCTTCAGGTTTTGAAGATGTTGGGTCTGAGGAAATTCAAGATACAAGCAGTGGTTCCAAAACGCTTAGAGAGATTCGGACCCTTTTAATGGAGGCAGAAAATATAGCACTGAAACGATGCAATTTTTCTGCTCCCCTTGTTCCTTTCAGAGATGTTAATGATATTTCATTTATACAATCTAAGAAGGTGGTTTGCTTCAAAGAACCCCTCACAGCTGATGAACCTAATGGTGATTTGCCTCAGAGTCTGCCATTTACAGAGGAAAGCCCAAGCAACAAGTGCATACAGAAGGATATTAGCACCCAGGCAAATCTGAAATGCCAGAGAGGCATTGAGAATTGGGAGTTCATTAGTTCAACTACCGTTAGAAGTCCTCTACGGGAAGCAGAAAGCAAAGCCAGAGTGGCAGTAGATGAAACCCTTCGGCAATATAGAGCAGCCAAATCTGTAATGAGATCTGAGCCTGAAGGGTATAGTGGAACCATTGGGAATAAAATTATTATACCTATGATGACTATCATTAAAAGTGATTCAAGTAGTGATGCCAGCTCCTGCTCGTGGGACAGTAATTCATTGGAGTCCGTTTCTGATGTTCTTCTAAACCTCTTGCCATATGCTTCACCCAAGACAAGCGTTACAGATAGTAGAGAGGAAGAAGGTGTGCTGGAGAGTGATGATGCTGGTGGTAGCAGTGTAGATTCACTGGCTGCACATGTCAGAAACCTTCTGAAATGTGAATCGTCATTGAATCATGCTAAACAAATACTCCGAAATGCAGAAGAAGAGGAATGTCGAGTACGAGCACGAGGTAGGAACTGATAATTTGTTATAAAGGGAGGTTAAGCTTATAAACATCATACTTTAACTTATTTAAAGTTAAGTATTTGTGGAGTCTGAATTTATATTCTTGTAGGACTATTCGAATGATTACATTTTCCACCATAATCCAGAGTAAGTCCATTTAACCAATAGTGTAACTAAGTCACAGTATTAATAGTGCTAGTTTGAGTTTAGGGTCTTAGATAGTTTCTAAAGCCTGAAGGAGAGTAAGAAGATAGCTTGGGTTTTCAGATTCCTGAAGTTCTTCTGTTTTCTTAATTCTGTATCTCAAACAGTATTCTATTCTATTACAGTATTCAATTTTGGAGGCAGAAAAAAAAAGAAAACAGTTTGCTCTGTTCTAAATCAAACTGTATCATAAAACTATATGCACATTTCTCCTTTTCTAATAAAATTCTTAGAGCGTATTTTAGACATTAGAAAAAACAAGTATTTCACACTAAAACTTGGGTTGGAGCTTTGAAAGAGGATATTTACCAATCCCGTTAGTCTCTAATAGTAGAATGCCATTAAAAAGGTTTTTTTAAGACAAAATAAGGAATATATTTAGAGAGTAACTTACAACTAATAGTTCAGGCCTCCCTGATTTGTTTATAAGTTTTCCCTTGAGATAAACTACCTATGCTGTTCCTTTTATCACTTACATATATTCTGACTCCAGAAAACTTAAGTATCAGCTCTCATGGAAGCAACAGTAACTGTAGCAGGACCTAATAGGGCAGGGAAAGGGACCATCCTGATTGGAAGGAAGATTAAGATAAAAATAATTGAAAATCATGGTTAAAGTGGCTGCTTTGGAGAAATATCTGTAGAATGTGGCTTTTTAAAAATCACAGTTTTCAGTGAAATGATTGCTCTTAAGAACTTACAATTGTTCGTAATATAATTGAGAACACATTTTGCTAAGTGTTGTGGTAGCATTTAGCTGGATATATTGATGGTTTTCTGTGCTCTTGTAATCACTGAAAATTATCATTTTTGCATTGCATTATCTCAAGTGTTTTTATATTTTCTTTTCAGCCTGGAATCTGAAATTTAATTTGGCTCATGAATGTGGCTACTCCATTTCAGAATTAAATGAAGATGACAGGAGAAAAGTAGAAGAGATCAAAGCAAAGTTGTTTGCTCATGAGAGAACAACTGACTTGTCCAAGGTATAAAAGAAATCTAGAAATGAAGAGAGAAAATGTGAAAGAAAGGGCGATATAGAGTTGGTTATCTCTTACTTGGGCATTGATGACATGGGCTGAGTCATTAATAGTCTTTGGATAAAGTGTTAAAAGTCTTATTTCTTCAAAATTAATATTTAAGTATTAGGTTCAGTAGTTTTTGATTACTTCCAAACTCATCTATTGAAAAAAGAAATTATCTCCTTAGGAAAATAAGAATAAATTTGCCTTATCATTTGTATTTTCTCCTTAAGGTGATAACTTGGGGTACAGATGAAGTCCAGCCATATTCAGATATATATTATCTACTTAAGAACATAGAGCTATAATAGCTTATGTTTAAATGATTTTCTTTTTAATAGTATTTATTTTGCTTCAGTTGTGAACTATTTGATGCATAGTAAAGAAAATATATATGAAACATATAAAGAATAAAGAAAATAAAAATAATTCCTATATATATTGGCCCACAAATTTGAAAAATGGAATGTTACCAAATACCATTGAAGTCCTTTATGTCTTTATCCCGACATGTACTATTTTCTCTTGCTGTTCAGTATAGTTTTAATTTCTTTAATAGATGGAATTACATGGTATATATATTCTGAGAATTACATTTTTCACACAGACTTGGGTTTTTGAGATTCCTCTGTGTCAATGTGTGTAGTTTTAGTTTATTCATTTTAGTACTGTAAGTATTCTAGTGTAAGACTATATCATAGTTTGTTCTCTTGTGGATACGGCATTTGGTCTGCTTTCATGAATAGTAATGGGGTACAGTAATACCTGTCTTACAGGGTTTTGATGTGGGTTATATGAGATAATGCTTAGTGGAATATGTGGTATCTAGTTCTCAATAATTGGCAATTATTATCATTACTATTAATACTATAAAATTGATAATGCATAGACTTTATGGCCTAATTCATAGAAAATTTAGAGAGCATAGAAAATTTTTTGTCAGTGATACAGCATAATTATTTGGCTTATCTCTTTTGGAAAAGTTTTTTAAAAGTATAAATTAGATTGGATTTTAGATTTATATATATATTTGAAATCATCACCATCATCCCATTTCCAGAAACTCTTTTCATCTAACAAGAGTGAAACTTTGTACTTGTTAAATAATTTCTCTCCATTCTACCCTCCTGCTAGCCCCTGGCAAGCACCATTCTGTCTTTATGATTTTTTTTTTAAAGATTTTATTTATTTATTTGACAGAGAGAGATCACAAGTAGACAGAGAGGCAGGCAGAGAGAGAGAGGGAAGCAGGCTCCCCACTGAGCAGAGAGCCCGATGTGGGACTCGATCCCAGGACCCTGAGATCATGACCTGAGCCGAAGGCAGCGGCTTAACCCACTGAGCCACCCAGGCGCCCCTCTTTATGATTTTTTTAAAGATTTATTTATTTATTTGGCACACAGAGAGAGCAAGCACAAGCAGGGGGAGCAGCAGAAGGAGAGGGAGAAGCAGGCTCCTCACTGAGCAGGACCCCACTGTGGGATTCGATCCCAGGACTCTGGGATCATGACCTTAGCTGAAGATAGATGTTTATCTGACTGAGCCACCCAGGCACCCCTATGATTTTTTTTTAAAGATTTTTTAAAAAAATGTATTTATTTTAGAAAGCACAAGTGGGGTGACGGATATTAGCACTTGATGAACAGGGAGCCTGACTTGGTGCTCCATCCTGCGACTCTGGGACTGTGACCTGAGCTGAAGGCAAACACTTAACAGACTGAGCCACCCAGGCACCCTTGATTTTAATTAAGTACCTCATATAAGTAGAATCATAACAGTATTTGCTTTTTGTGATGAGTGTATGTCATTTAGCGTAATGTCCTCAAGTTCATCCATGTTGTACCTTATGTCAGAATTTCCTTAAGGTGGGTCTCTTAGAGATAGCATATAGTTAAATAATGTTTTTTTTTTGTTTTTTTTTTTTTTTGTTGTTGTTTTTTTTGTGATTCTGCCAATCCCTGATGTTTTGATTGAGTTTGATCCATTTAAAGTAATTACTGATAAGATATGACCCAGTTCTGTCATTTTGCTATTTGTTTTCTATGTCAAGGAACTGATTTTTACGGTCAGGTACAACTCCAAACCACAAGTTTATTTACCTTACTGCCCTTTTGTCCACAGACGTGCAGAGGACAACAAATTACATTTTGTAGGCTCCTAAAGACACCCTGTTACATTGCTTGTTGGCATTAACTACTCAGATCAAACTATGATAACAAAATTCACTTTGTATGTATAGATTTACTGTCTGTTCTTAGCAGGATGCTCCCTCCTTTCTTTTCACTTTTATGTTTGGTAACCTCTGAAGACAGGAAAATTTTGAAGTCAGGAATTTATATCATCTTGGTGTATGGATCAGTATCTCTTAAGTTTATAAAGAAAATCATAAAAAAAACCTAAGAGGAAAAATAAAACAAGCCAAACTAAGAAAATAGTAAGAAAGAAATTATAAAATCAAACGGATCAACTAATGTACTAGAAAACAGGAAAATAATAGAATTGAACATTACCACTTAGAGTTCAGGCTTAGAAAAATTCCACATCAATAGGCAGCCTCTAACTAGAAGATTACAAGAAAATAATTCGATGTTATAAATTAAGAGGAGTATGCTAATCATACCATTGAGAAGTTTTAAAGTCATAAGAAAATATAATATATACCTCTTTTTAAAATTAGATTTAAAATTCTCATGAATTGGCTGATTTTCTAGGAAGATGTTTATAAATCTTAAATAGATTAGATGTGAACAAGATAGAAAAGTCTTTGTCTCTCAGATTTATCTTCCAAGAAAAGTAGCTGACTTGTTAGGAAATGGTATGGAGTATTTCCTAGGTGTGATATTAGTAGTGTGGTTTTATGACAGGTGAGTGTCCCTATTCTTAGCAGATGTGGTGGTGAACTATTTAGGATTGAAGTGTCATTTACCAGTGTTTGTATAGAACTGATAGGGGGAAATGTTCAGTTGTTGAATCATGGCAGAATGAATTCCACTGTTTATTTTAATACTGTATCAACTTTTTTAAAAAAAGACTTTATTTTTTAGAGCTGTTTAAAGTTCACAACAAGGGGTGCCTGGGTGACTCAGTTGGTTAAGCATCTGCCTTCAGCTCAGATTATGATCCCAGGGGCCTAGAATTAGCCCCACATCGAGCTTCTTGCTCATAGGGGAACCTGCTTCTCCCTCTGCCTCTTGTCTGCTGTTCCCCCTGCTTGTGCTTTCTTTCTTGCTCTCTGTGTCAAATAAATAAATAAAATCTTTAAAAAAATTAAATTTCCCAGCAGAATTGAGAGAAAAATAGGGAGATTTTCCATAGACCCCTTGCCCTACACATGCACTTCCACTGGCATTGTCAGCATCCCTCCCCAGAGTAGTATGTTTGCTACAATTGATGAACCTACATTGATACATCGTAATAACCCAAAGTCCTTGGTTTACATTAGGGATCACTCCTGGTGTTATATAGTTTATGGGTTTGGACAAATGTGTAATGAATGACATGTATCCATCACTATATCATACAGAGTATTTTCACCACCTTAATTTTGCCTCTTCCCACTGCAACTGCTGATCTTTCTGCTTTCTCTATACTTTTAATACGTCACATAGTTGGACTAAAACAGAATTTAGCCTCTTCAATTGGCCTCTCTGGATTATTAATATGCATTTAAGTTTCCTCCATGACTTTCCATAGCTTGCTAGCTCATTTCTTTTTAGCACTGAGTAATGTTCCATTGTCTTAATGTGCCACAGAGTTTGTTTCATCTACTGAGGAATATCTTGGTGGCTTCCAAGTTTTGGCAGTTATGAATAAAGCTGCTATAAACATCCTTATTCAGTTCTTTCATGTGGAAATCAGACATTTTAGCTCCTTTGGTTAATTATCAGGGAGTGCAAATGCTAGATTATATGGCAAGAGTCTTATGTTTAGTTTTGTAAGAAACTACCAAGCTGTTTATAACTTTGTATGTCAGCTATCCTTCAGTTAAAAACATACACATACGCGCGCGCGCGCACACACACACACACACACACACACACACACACACTTAAATGGGGGAGAGAAAAAAAGAAACCAAAATTGTCTTACAAAGTGGCTGTTCCATTTTTTTATTTCTACCCTCCAGTGATTCAGAGTTCCTGTTGCCAGCATTTGGTATTGTCAGTGTTTTGGATTTGGGCCATTGTTGTAGGTGCGGAGTGAATCTTGTTTTGTTTTATTTTTTAAATTTTTAATTATAGATTTTATTTACTTATTTGAGAGAGAGAGTGCATAAGCAGGGGGAGGGAGAAGAACAAAGAGACTTGTACTGTGTGTGGAGCCTGAAGTGGGGCTTATCTCATGACCCTGAGTTCATAACCCTGAGATCATACCTGAGCCAAAACCAAGAGTAGGATGCTCAACTGACTGAGCCACCCAGGTGGTTAGGAGTTTCATTTTCATTTTCATTTCTCTGATGACATATGATGTGGAACATCCTTTCATATGCTTCTTTTCCAGCTGTATGTCTTCTTTGGTAAATTATCTGTTAATGTCTTTGGCCCATTTCTAAATTGGGTTGATTTCTTACTGATTCTTTAGAGTTCTTTGTATATCTTAGATAACAGCCCTTTATCAGACACGTCTTTTGCAAATATTTTCTTCCAATATGTGCCTTGTCTTTTCATTCTTGACATTGTACGTCGCAGAAGTTTTTAATTATAGTGAGTTCGTCTTATCAATTACTCTTTCAAGGATTGTACCTTTGATATTATATCTAAAAAGTAATCACTGTATCCAAGGTCATTGAGGTTTTCTCCTTTGTTATATCCTAGGGTTTGCATTTTACACTTGGGTCTATGATCCATTTTGAGTTAATTTTTGTGAGGAGTTTTAAATCAGTGTCTAGATTCATTTTTTGCCTGTGAATGCTCAGTTCCAACATCATTTGTGGAAAAGACTATCTTTGTCGCTTTGTCAAAGAT